GATGCAAGAGGTGGAGAGTCTGTGCAAAGGCCTAAGCCAGAATATTAAATTACGTTCAAGTTTACAAATCTTAAATGATAGTATTTAGTATTTCCTCCTACCTTCAGCACATTGTATTGTTGTTTTGAAGGTACATGTTGGTTCCATGCGGGCTACAAGTCGTGGATATGTGAAATTAAAGTCTAATAGTCCATATGACAACCCCATTATCCAGCCAAACTACCTCTCAACGGAAGAAGATAGAGTGGAGTTGAGAGACTCTATCAGACTTACCCGTGAAATATTCAGCCAGAAAGCGTTTGATCCATTTCGAGGAAAAGAACTACAACCAGGTATGCAATTTGCATAATTATGATTTTTGATGCAGCATGCACAGCTTTCTTGGCAGCTTCCACCCCCTCAACACACAAGAATGTTAGAGAAATGAATTTGTTTTAATGATGAGGTGAGAAAACAAAAAGCTTTTTTCACACTAGTAGCTAAACAGGAGACTAGTTTTATTATAATTTTTCTTTGTCAGAGTACGTATTGTTTTTTACATCTTTTGTTTTACATGTAAATACAATGGACATGTAAGTCATGAGTGACTGCAGTGAACCACCTGCCATGAAATTGCCTGTTCTACAGTAGTAGCTTTTACCACTGACGTTTTCTCATCTTCATGAAACATTCATTTAGTAGGCAATTCTTATGAGTTTTTCTTGTAGAACGCACTAGATAATTTATTACACTGAATAAACACTGTTGTCCTTTGCCACTTATTTCCGTATCTGTCTTTTAAGGTGACCATGTTCAAACAGATGAAGAAATTGACGCCTGGGTACGACAGAATGCAGATACGGCATATCATCCATCATGCACATGCAAGATGGGCTCTGATGATGACCCAATGGCTGTCGTCAATAACAAATTGGAAGTCCTTGCAGTAGAAAATCTTCACATCGTTGATGCATCAATCATGCCAAGCGTTGTGAGCGGAAATCTCAATGGACCAACTGTTATGATTGCCGAGAAGGCAGCTGATATCATCCTAGGAAATCCACCACTGCCTAAATCAAATGCACCAGTGTACAAGACACCAGAAAAGGGACCAAGATAATTAATATAAGTGATGTCATGAAACACACTTTATGGTGACTGCTAAATAATTCCACTTACAAAACAATATTGCTTCCAGATCTTGTGTGGCAGACGAATGGCATTCAGTGTGTGAGGAGCAAAGTTTCAAGACTGGATGACAAAATGCTTAAAATCATACTGTTGAAAATAATTATTACTGGTCTATTTAATATATTTTAAATTATCATGAGGTCTTCTTATTGTGAGGGAAGGTGCGAAGGGATGATGCTCAACGGAGATCCTGTGTTAGTAACCAAAGTACACTGTGGTTGAAAAGGCTCTGGCTAAGGATTTCAGCAGTCAGCATGAGAATTAATTTTAATATGGCTTTATACAATAATAAGCAGTAAGGTTCAGACTGCAAAAAGACTTCTAGATTTTCATGGAGAGTGCTTTATTAAGGAAATAGCTAACATGCCATGACACATTGTTGAGTTATATATGCATCCATGGGGAATTCTTAACAACAAGAGAAGTGCATAGAGCAGTGTGAGGCACTACTTACAGTAGTACTTCTTGCACTTCTAGAGTGTTCTTCACAATTCCCTGACAAACATTAGAAACAGACAGTATGTATATATTTTTTGTTTTATAACTCAACAATGAACAAGGAACAAGTTTACTTTTCCTTTATATGAAATGTTCAGGAAATTGTGTACGCTCAAACTTGTAATGTGCAATGTACAGCCTGCATACAATATTACTTGATAAAGCATGCATGACATAGGGTGCATGCTTTACCATGCTGCGATGAATTTGAGCTGACCAATCATGTGTGTACAGTTCCTTGAATATTTTATTGATACATTCGTAATAGTTTTAAATTGTAGCAGTTTGAAAGTCAGATTTGCAAATAAACAGTCTGTCACCAACAGGCTTTGGAATGTGTCTGTAGCTGTTTTCATTTCTGGTTTGTTTAATAAGTAGTGTAACAACTGATTAATAAACACTTAATGACTGGCCCTATGGGAAACATTTGGTTTTGTTTCCCTGGGACCCTCAATGTTTCCCGAGGCAAATATTTTGTTATACATCTCAACTCAAAAATAGAAAGAAATAGCTGCAAAAAAATTATTTGCTTGACCTGGGCTTAAGCCTGCAAGCAGGTTCTCATACATTGTGGCAGGAGCAAAGTCAGCAAACAAAGCAAGCTGGTGAGGGACCTAGCATGAGAAATGATTATTCTAAGTGGCTCACTTCGCTTGCCAACTCGTACTAGGCCCCTCACCACCTTGCTTCACTGGCCAATGGCTTTGCTTGTGCCACCAACGATGAGAGCCTGCTCGCAGGCTATGCCTGTCGGCACACAAATTTGCTGCAGTTTCAAGGTGCACAACCTGATGATCTGCAAGTCGAAAGTTGAAGTTCTTGTTTCCCTAGGGAGTTAGTGAGGTTTGACCCATAACATGTGACACATTCTCAGTCTAATTGGATATCGTATTTGTATTGAGAGGTATAAGAATCTTAATTCATCAACCAATCAAACAATTAATATTTAATTTCAATGTCAGCTTGTTACCTAATGTTTGGCTTCCAAGTTGAATTTTCTTAGGTTGAATTTTTTTAGAAAGGTAAATTTTCTAGTCTGAGAATCAAATCAACTTGATTATTGTCTGGCTTAAAACAAGTACCTTCATAGGTAATTACTTCACTTTACTGCCTGTGTAATCTTCAAATCAAAAATTGAGCTGCTATGCTAAGAGTGATCAGTCTCGCTTTGTTTTGTTTTTATTTGCAACCAAAATCAATTTTCCTGTATGCAGTGCAATGAACAAATATTACACTTTTGAAAATTATTTTTCAAATTATTTTTTTGCTTAGCAAAATAATTGTTGTATTAATTGCCAAAAAATAACCTTTGGGTACACTAAAGGTGGACGTCTGCCTAATGAGGTGGTGAAGAAGATTTAGAAAAATCTTCAGGACATAAGAAAGTGACTCTGCCGGCAAGGTTTTGGTCATGGTCATAAGAACGTGTGAAGAGGACGTGTTATGGTTCTGCTCTATGATATTAATGGATGAGCCATCTATTATAAACAATGAAAGAGGATTTTCTCCTGTGTTCCTGAGTGCCACAGTGACACCTCTTCCCTCTCACCTAAAATCTCAAAAAAACAGTCAATGCACAATCTATCAATTTTATTGATTCAAAAATTGTATGAGGTGAATTTGATTCATTGTTTTAAGATTTATGGCATATTTTTGTTGCTGTATAAAAAGTTGGGTTACAATTAATAGAAATATTTAGCATCATTTGGTGAATCTTTTCAAGACTTGAAATTTCGAAGACTCTGATCTTTTGTAACTATACTACAGATCAGACCTATGCAAAACTCTGAACTTAAATTGTAATAAACTACAGTTGTCACACATTTACCAAGATTTAAAGTGAACAATGTCACAAGACCAGCGCATTCAAAACCTTTTCTTTCATGTGCTAATAATGAAATCCCTTAAAACTATCAAGACCTTAACGGCTGCCCCAACCCCTCCCAGCAAAACAATAAATATATAAATAAAATGAAACTCATCTACCAATACGTCTAGTAAGCATTTTGTAAATGCTAGTAAACTAGCAGGTGTGCACCCTACTTGCAATTGTACAAAAATTGCTACTTAATCATTGCAAATGGACCTGATAAACTCACTGCTGTCAGTACGCCAAAGTCCAAATGCCTAATTAATTTGCACTGCATATTTTGGAATTATTTACCAGACCGTGTGCCACTTATTGATATCAAGTAAAGGAGGAATAAACATCTCACGTGTTGATGGGTACTTATGAACATCATAACAGTAACAGTGATTAAGGCCTGAAAATTTTATGCTACAAAAGTTAGTGATAATGTTGTGCCCCTTCACTCATCAAATTGGCCATTTTACCACGCTTTTGAAACATTTGCTTTAGTTTGAAAAAAGGCTTTTACCACAATGTTATTTATTTTAGCTGGCAACTCTACTGTACACCATAGATTTTTTAAAACAAGCTCTGGATGCCACAGATCACAATATAACAAGATTTTTAGCAGATTGACTTGTCAGTGCAATCACAAGTTATTATGTCTGTGTCATCATCAGATCAGCCAGGTTCTCCATAGAGTTACGTGACAAACCTTATAACAGAATCTTGGACAAAAATTCATTCACAAAGTCTGCTGATAAAAACTGGAGTGAGTAATAGATGATTGTAATGCACTGCCTTGAAGGGCCTTCTAAATAAACACGCGTAGAATGTGCAAGCCTTCAAAAGTTTTAAAGGTTGTTAGGTAAACACATGTGTACATACTATTACTGGTAACTATAGATTCATATAATTGCATGGTTATGGAACAAAAAAATAATCAGCCAATATCATTGTCAAACAGTTTTTACAGTGCTTTTGTTGTTCTAAAGCTGGATAATTTGATATATCCTGGTTCAGCCTGTATTCATTTGACCATCCCCAGTTCCTGGATCTTGCTCCATTAAGTCTGGTGCTAAAATAAAAACAGTATGCTGTTATTTTAACTCTACGTGTAATTTTTTTAAAAATTTATTAGTAGATGGAAAATCATCCCCCCTAAAAAAGCTATTATAAAATACACTACTATAAGCAAGATAAATCCTGTGAGAGCCTAAAGAAGAAAGGTGGGCTTTGATTGTCTTTTTCAAAACATCCAAGAGTACTACATGCATTGTCCAAGATCCTGAGGTCTAGATAGAATTGCATAAAGCGACACCTGCACTTGAAGTACTCTTTTCTAGGCTTTGGTAGTATATGTTTGTTAAATGGGTCTCTTAACCTGTAATCAGTATCGTAATTACAAGGCATATTGTGGGGATGTACTGGAGTGAGCTCATGTAAAGAACTGAAAACCATCATGGCCCATTGGCCTTGTATGAACTGCAAACTTACAGGGAATGTTGAGATCCTTAGAACTGAACACTGGGCTTTCAGTTACAGTAGGAGAGGTACTGGCATTTGGCCTGACAATAACAACTTCTCCATCCTTGTTGAAACCAAAGCCATGCTTGTCATCCCAAATAAAACAGTTTTCCAAACCTGATAAAAAATTATATGATTTCAGCTTAGATTGTATATGAGAAATTTTCTACATTTTGTTTTGATAATTAAGAAACTAACAACAAAATTAGTGATTGTTAAAAGCCTCTGAAAAAGGCTCACTGTGTTTTTTGATGTATGGCCAACTCAAACCCTAACCAATGATTGCATTTTTTACTGCCATCGACCAAAAGCATACTGATAGTATATATTAAATTACAAGTGAATGTATGAAAGATCATGTATTTGAACTGGGGAGAAAGATATGAAAGCATGATTGATCATCGCAGTTATACACAAAACTGCTTCACTTGTATTCTTCACCATCTACAGGTATACTACAAACTCATAGCTTGATAGCTCAGTTAGTTGAGCGCTGCACCTGTAACACAGAGGTTACAGGTCTGAATCTTCTTCAAGCCTGAATTTTTTTTCAGGCTTAAATTTCATAACTGCTTAAAAGTTTTGTTTTACTTGAACTTTTCAGTTTTTAATTTGTATGATGATATTGTAATTTTAAGTAGAAGTAACCTTAATAATAGTTTAATCACAAACATTGTCAAGTGCCATTGACCTTTGGAAATGAGCACTATATAAATTCATGTATTGTATTGTATTGTATTGTATTGTATTGTATTGTATTGTATAATATTGTATTGTATTGTGTGTATAACTGTGATGATCAATCATGTCTTCATAGATATAACAATTACATCAATAAGACATGATTGATCAATAATTGATAATAAAATGTTAAAATGACAGCATGCAGTTATGTACCTGTGAATTCACTCTGAGTTCCACCACTCAGCACAACTGACGATGATCTAAAACATCTGATACTTGACTGTCTTGCTGTGTGCAACATCAGTTTATGTCCTTTTCTTAACAGTGCCATCGTAAAAAGATTGACTTCTCTTGCACAGTCAAGTTACATTCTACAGAATAATAAAGAAATATATGTCTTATTTTCTACGTTTCCCCCTACAATTGATTACAATTTACAGCACAGCAATCTTGTCCCTAGCAGAGACAAGTGATAATCAGAAATACGTCAGCGTTTGCAGGCTAACTTCGCAGACTACACATTTTTCAGTAAGCGGTTACTGGATTCTCAATGGCTCTGGATGGAATAAAACTGGAATCAACACATCGTGGTTCTGGTTTGATTGTGTGCATGCATGCAAACTACAAGTTCAAATAACAGTTTTTGAAAACGAAAAGAGAGAGAAACCATTGTGGATAATGCTGGCTCTCCTCTCAATTTCTCTCTTCTTGGTGCTAACCTAGGGGATTGTAGCCTCTGGGAACGAACCTGGTAGCACAATAGAACCCCACTGTATGCATGGCAGTCATCTCTCTGATTGCTATTAATTATCATTCACAGAAGCTATTTATAGAAACATGTGTTTTTTTAAGGTCCCTGAAAAAATGTAAGGTCAATCCCCAACAACCCTGCCAACAAGAAAAAATCTCCATACCGTACACTGTTAACACAACCAGAATTCGACAATCAGTGACAGATTTAAGGGATTCCACTTGATAAACGCAGGACTTGGCCACAACTGAGCGAACTCGTGAGTACCACGATGTACATATTCATAGCACATTTTAAAATTTGCCTACACTCATAAGGTTGGCCGTTACATGTAAGCTTAACATTTTGTTACTGAAGATTCCACGAGTTCGTTGAGCTCAAGCATATATTCTCTTCGGACATTACGTACAGCCGGCCGGCTTCTCTATTTTCCCGAATCAGACCGTACTCGTGTTATCAAATTTCCTGTCGACTCATGCTATTGTACATTCTGTCAAGCAAAGACTTCTCTTCATGCATTCGAGTAAAACAATGCGTGAAGTTTAGCACTTAAACTTAACGATAATTCTTAAACTAAAAGAGCAGCAAAGCTCAAGCTTTTATAACACAAACATGGTTAATGGTTTTTGCTTACGTAAATATGCACGGTCAAACAATATCCTGAACTTGCATTTCAAAACAAGGTACTTTAGCTACTACATTCACTGTACTACACTACCCGGGTACACTAAAAACCTGCTGATGAAGGTACGATATCCTGGTTTAAGTACGTCATTTGACCAAAACAAAACAAAAAAACTAGTAAGAACTTACCGGCGCTTCTAACCTGACAACGAAAAGTTCACACTCGAGTGTGGTGTGAAACCGTGTCTGAAAACAACGTCACGTGATCGAGAGGAGAATTTAAAAAAAAATTTTTTTTTTTCGCGCGAGAGTGGGGTAAGGCTGCCAGGTTTGCGTGTGCTGGAACGGTGAAAAATCGGAAGAAAATTTAGAAACGATTTCCCTCTACAAAAAGTATTCTGTCTATATAACAGCATTGTGCTTTGAAAATAACACGACAGCCTGAAAGATTAGAAGCGAGAGGAATTGCTATTTGATTCCCCCCTACACACCCCACAAAGTAGCCGTAACACGCTTATATTGACATCGTCTGAGAAACGGAGCGTTACCTAGAAAACAAGGAAAACGGGTTTTAGGACAACGGCATTCAGGGCCTACTTTTTCCTCCTCTGTTTTTGCTCTTGTTTCACATTCCATTTGAATTCAGCCAGTTCCTGACGGCCTGGCAAAGCTCCGGGGCAAAGCTAAGCAAAGCGAAATTGTCTATTAGTTTTAGCCCATTGGCTCCGTCATTTCCAAGCTAGGGTTGTACACACTATTCCGGCATTATTTTGAGCATAATAGTGAGGCAAGAGAATCGAGCATTATGTCGGAATAATAGCGACAAAAACTGGAAGACGGTTGGGGGCAAGAGAAATCTGCACACACCAACATGTTCTGCTAGTTCAACCCTCTTCTACTACAAGTGGAATCCCGATTTCTCCGGCGAACCATCATTTTTTCGCCCTCCCGATAACTCGAACCAAAAGTCGTTTCCCTCTCCTCAGTCGCGCACTGTAATTTTACCCCCGATTTCTCGAACTATCCGCTCTTTCGAACCAGTTTTCGTTTCCCTCGGAGGTTCGAAAAATCGGGATTCCACTTTTGTTCAAAACGAGTTTTTTCATGACCAGAAAACGCAGCTCGCAAAAACCAAGCCAGAGCAATGGAGGATTAGATTGAGCGGATCCCTCATGTTCAAATACAACAAGCTCCTGAACAAGCATTAAGGATAAATATTAGTTTTTTTTTATGTGAGCATACCATAAGCACAATAGTGATGCCTTTTGGTTTATTTATTTATTTTATTTATTTATTTTTATTTTACAGATTCGCCATGAGGCAGGTGGGCATACAAAAGAACACTAGGTCCCCTACCAAGGTAACCCATCACCTGACCATCCCCCTAAAAAGTTGGTAACCCATTCCCTAGAACCCCAATATAAATAATAATGAAAACCCCCCAAAAAGAAATTTTTCAACAACAAAAAAAATTTAAAAAGAACAATGTTTAACAGTATTGGTACAACGGCACTTAGGACAGACTAACTTATGTGAACTTATATGCGCATAGTGAGATTTTTTGAGCATCGAACATTTGCACAATAGTGAAAAATTGGAGCACAATGTGCTCCTCTATCCCCCTGCCAGGGCAGTGTTTGTGGCATTTGTATTTTGTTTGGAAAAATGTTGCTAGATGGACATATCTTCCCGGTAGAGCTTCAGGAAGACTGCAAATGCCCGACCCATGGGACAAAATAAAATCCTATTATATTTCTATCTTTAAGAAATATCCTTTTATGTTTTCTATCAAATTCTGTTCTTTACTTTGGCATGGACAAAATCATTTCATCTCTAATTCACTTTCTTTTCTGTTTTACTTTCTAGTCATTTCCCGCTCAGCCAATCAGAAAGCAGGAGATGATAGCCGTCATAGTTCTTTGAAGCCCGAAATGAAAACATGAACTTATTTTCGTATCATTTTTCTTGTGAGAGAATTGGCCGAGTAACATATTTTATTCTATCTCATGGCTTAGAGTAAAAAATATTCTCGCTCTGATATTACTATCAGTTGCGGATCTAGGGGAGGGGCCGGGGGGGGGGGCGGGGTCCCCTCCCCCATTATTTTAGGTAAAAAAATCGCAGAAGGAAGAAAAGCTGACAGAGAAAGCTAAAAACCCCTCCCTCACGCACTGCTCTCCATTCTAGATTAAGACCTTCCCGTACTTGGTGGGACCAAAAGAACTTGAAAACAGCGTTTGCCTAATTGCATAAGAAGTAATATGTCAAACACGAAAGACCGTGTTTGACCACATTTCCAAGCACCGGGAGAGAGTTGAAAATACGACGCGCAGCGGAGTATTATTGACGAACTTCGAGGTGTTTGGAAATGTGGTCAAATGCTGTCTTGAGTGTTTGATATATCTTCTCAATCGAGACTAACACTAAAGAGAAGACGGAGAATTAAAATCGTTAAAATCTATGTCAATTAAGATCAGATATCCAAACACCGTCACGGTCATGATTTCCTTTGTTTAAACGTAATGAATTGTTAATGAGTTTGAGAAAATGTTGTAAATATACCACACCAAACTTGCTGTTGTAAACTAAGTCAGTACAGGCTCGTAATTTTTTAAAAAAGACGACAAAGTGGAGTATTGCCTAAAAGGATTGTCAAAATTGCGCTCTAATTTCATGATTTTAAATAAAAGAAAACGAATTTGGACATGATTAAACAGGTTATCTAGGAAATGCACTTTATATGAAGGAATTTTTATTTTATGCAACTTAAAATTATTCAATTTTAAGAAATTTAATGTTTCGAAAAAAATATTTTCTCACAGAGTCACGAAACCTGTAATAGCCATTTTCTACGTAGAAATAATTTTATTTTTCGAAATGAGGATGGAATTTGTCAATGGAGCTAGCCACTGTTAAAACACTACGGTACCAAAGCAAAGTTTTGATAAATATGCTAAGGAAGTTAACGCATATTGTCCATCAATGACATTGAAAATTTTAATATGCTATTATACCTGAGTTGTAATTAAGACATCTAGGTGATCTGTGGGTTTTGTGTTTTTACGAATCTCCATTTTGTAACGTTAAAACATGAAAATTAAACTAGGGTATTAGAAAGTACTCTCCATTCTCGATTAAGACCTTCCCGGACTTGGTGGTGCCAAAAGAACTAGGAAACAGCATTTACCTAATTGCATAAGACAATGAAGCAAATATACCAGACCAAACTTCCTGATGTAAACCGAGTCAGTACTAATTACTTAATAACCGAGAGTGAGGTCGTTACGGGAAAATCTCAAACCTAGGCCTACCGTATTAACCTCGCTATCGCTCGGTCAATACGGTAAGGC